GCACCACACACTTCTTCAGACAAGTCTGAAATAAACAGAAAGGAGACAGAGTGGTCAAAGGCAGTTCACCACATGAGAATGTAACCAGGATGACACCACAAGTCCTGCTTTTGCCCAGAGCTACATGGCATCTTTTTGGTTTTAGCTTCATCTAGACACTGGTGGCTCCACCACAACATCCTCAGAGTGCTGATGGCTGAAGCCACAATGCTCCAGCAGCTCTCCAGTCTCAAACGGGCTTTTTGCTTTGCCGCCACCAAAATATTTCACTGATGTCCATCAAGTCAACCTATTTAAATCACTCAAACATTTAAATCACTCAAGTGCCCCATGAATACATTAAAATAACTATACTGATTCCAGGATGGAAGTTCAGGTCCTCTCTAAAAGTTAGCCATCTGGCTTCAGAATTAGAAAAATACACATTGTCCTCTACTTTAATAGCCCTATAAAGATAAATAGGCAGATCTTTGTTTGTGAACTTACACCTGGTTTGCTATCTAACCTATTCAGAAGATAAAAGTGCTCCCTGTCACGTCATGTGGCTAGACTTTGGTTTGTTATCCCCCCCAAAAATTTATTGCCTAGTTCAACTGCAATAAATTTTTCCTGTGAAGTCATATCCTTTGGTTGTTCACTGTTGCCCATTGAATGCTGTACTCATAGTTAGGAAAGTCAACACAAAATAGTGTCTTAAGGATGCCTGACCTTTGCCAAGGATCCAGGGACAGGTACAGCCAGTCACACGCAGCTGCTCTGCCTGCATGACTGCACCCAAAGGGGCCAACATCCAGACAGGCTTGGCAGTCACCAACGTTACCTGAAGGCCAACCCACGTTGCACTCATGCCTGTGAACATTCAGGCACCAATTGTACAAAGTTGCCTCGAGTCAGAGCAGAATCCAGTTAATGGAACTTTGTTTCAACACCACAATTCGCAAGTGGAATTGATCAAGGTACCATTCTTAGCCCATTCCTTCCCAAGTGCACTGACACATGCCATCAGCATTCCAGCCACACCTTTCCCTACAATGAACCATGAACTAATGCAGAGCAATCTGCCTTGGGGCCCACCTGTTTAGAGAAGGTCTTGTACAACGGCTCGGCTATAAACCACATGCTGAGAAATACCGAGGACAAAGCCACCCATTACCATCCCAGATCCTGAACCTAAGTGCCTGCATGTGCATGTCTTCACAGACTGGGAAGGGTCCCTTGTTCTCAGCTGGGGATGGTCTGAGGGTCGTTATGGCTACAAAGGGCAGGCTAAAGCCCACCTGTTATGATACAATTAGCAAGAGGGGTTCTGCCTCATCTCTCGTTATTGAAAGGTGAACAGAGACATCAACAACATGGGCTTCTCAGTATAAAAATTATTAAACTATCAATGCAAGATAATTCCTGGGTACAGGCTATCCATCAGCAAACAAGGATGACAAATCTATTAAGAAACTGTTTGCCACAGAAGTCCAGGAGAGGAGCTGACAAAAAGAATGTTGGCAGCCAGAGAAGAGCTGCCCTACAAGAACCCACCTGGAGGGGCAGCGTGGCTGACACTGCCATCTGTAGGATCTTCGCATCGTGCAGCTGCGTCACATCCCAGGCAGAATATTGCTGTGTTGGCTGCTTCCCAGAAGGCTTTCTCGAAGTAACGAATCTATAGTGCAGGATTTTCTTTTATGTCTTTGTATCACACAGAAATTTCTCTCTGTTGAAGTTATATTCCCACTACATCGACATCAGACTTCCTGCCCTCATTTTGCTCTCCCATGCGGACGCTGTCTGTAAGATCAGACATAGGGGAGAATGCTTGCAACCAAAGTCTCCAGAGGACCTCAGGGGCAGCGTGAGGGATCCTGCAGTTGTATGAATTAGGTGAAAAACCACACAGTAATTTCTCCACCTCCACTGTGCTGACAAATTACAGAAGACAACAGGGTTGTACAGGACAGTGTGCAATTTCCTCAGGACGTTTTAGGGAACTGTCTCATTATCCCACTCACAGCACTGTTAATTTAACAATGCAATGGTAGGGTTGTTGAAACTGGCATAGTCTACGCACGAGGGGGAAGAAGGACTAAGGCAGCCTGAATATAGCAGAAATATACAATCTCCTCCTAGAAACAAGCCTTCAGAATGCCACTTCCCCTGCTTCAGGGTGACTGGGATTCATATTCCTTACTATTTTGCTTCTTCATTAATGCCATGTGGCTCTATCCTACCACAAGGACAGTGGATATGACGCAGAAATCCTTTGCCGCAGGTCAAGGAAACCCAGCCCACACAGGAGGAATAACTGGCAACACTTAACCTACAATTTTCATGCAGTGCTCCTTGAAACAGAAATCTTCTTCCTTCAGAAACAAGTAGTCCTCTTGACAACAAACTTTTATTCCAGTGACTCTTAGCTAACTTGGTGCACTTGACAGAGCCAACAAATACTCATCCTGCAGATGAAACAAAGCTGAACTCTTGGGAACTGAAGGACTAAGGAAAGATTTACATTAAAAGTAATAGCAGTAATAATAATCTGGTCCCAGTGAGGATGAATTACTCAGAGTTGAAACAGGCTGGGTGGAAACCAGTGAAAATATGACTTTTCCCATATTTAGCAATTAAGTTCAGCCAGTCCCAGGAATGCCAGATAAAAAGCAGATCGCAACATACAGGATTTTCAGAAATTTGCTAAGGAGGAAAAAACTGTGCACTTCTTGGTAATTCTTGCTGAAGAAAAACAGTACCTGAGGTTGGAGTTGGAGCTATTCAGGACCTCTGCTATTTGCACAAAACAACAGCACCATCCAGCGGATAAACAGTACTTGCATTATCCTCCCACCACCACCTGCCACCTACCTATAGAAATTGTGCTATATAAACTTTATCACAATTATAAGTGAACTAAAGCTGCATTTATATTAATCTTGGGTAAGAAAAGCTCAGACATTTCAGGAGAGTGGTAAAAGAACTCCCAAAGAATCAAACTTTCCACCTCCAGGCAGCTCTGTCAGCGCTACCTCTCACCAAGTGTTCTCTGCACCAAGACTGCAATCTCTTCTCCGCTGCTGAGGTGGAAAAAATGACTCCAGAGAAGATGAACAGTCACCATACCTCACCCCGGGTGATGCATCACAGCTTCACAGCCAGATGTGCTGCAGTGAGTCCACACATGACTGCACAGAGAAGGCATGCAACTCCTCCGCTACGTTTGGCCCTGTTAGTGCTGCCAGTTTTGGTGCTGTGTTGAGGCTGCTTAGGATTCCCCAGTTCAACGGCTGTTTCATCTGTTTCCACAATGCAAACTCTTCAGTTTGGCTTTATATGAAAACAGTCACACTCCCCAAAGCAACTCCCGGAAAACAAGCAATTAATCCGTTTCTATGCAACAAAAGAAGATAAAGCAATGTAACGCTTCCTCTGTTTATTGTTACAGACACAAGTTAGCAGCTAAGGAATGTAAGCAGCACACAGCATTCTCAACAGCTGATCACACCGTGACTCACCCACTACACATCCCTACCTCGGTGCCTGCATTCCTGACCTACTTTGGGAATTAAGGCAGCGTTACAGACACGAGATTTTCAGCTTCAGAAAAAGGAGCATCTCACAGCTACTCCAAAGCTCCTGGCTGGGATCCACTACGTGGGTTTAATATGCAAAAGGTAACAGTAATTCACACACTCGTGTTTTGTTCTGTTTCCTAGCAGAAAGCCATGCTCACACAAGGCTCTAGCACTTCATTTTCCTTACCCTCAGCAATCTTTACCAGCTGGTGCTGCTCCCACAACGCACAAACTCACAGACTCCTCACAGCCACTGCGAGCTTCAGACGGGGTTATTTCACTCTCCACGTGAGATTATATTGTCTAAAATAGGCTGTTACAGATAACATGCTTTTTGAGCTCTGTTCCCACCATCCTTATAGGATTAAATGCAGCTATTACGGATTCACAGACCGTGGATTTAATTCTTTTGTCAGACACATGGAACCTGGACACAGCACTTAAGAGAATGAAGGGATTTGGAGAGGGAAATTTCTTTTTTTTTTTTTTTTTTTTTTTTTTTTTTGTCTTTTTTAGTGCTACGACAGCCTCAAAACTCGTCTGGAAACTCATTCGAACACGCAAAGCGGCGCCGCCATCTTACCATGCACCGCCCTAATAGCGCGGCCCGGCGCATGCGCGCCCGCCGCTCCGGAAAGACACTGCGCTCCCAGCACGCATGCGCAGTAGGGCTGCGTCACACAGCGCGCATGCGTATTACATGACAACGGCGGCGCGGACGCCTTTCCCGCGCTGCCTCTCCCGTGCTGTGGCGAGCTACGGGTACCGCGCGGGGAGCTGGCGGTCGCCATGGCAACGAGGCCTGCTGCTGACCCGCCCCGCCTGCCACCTCTCCAGGCGGACGTGGCCTAGGGCCCTCGATAGACGTAGCCTTATTCCTCTCTGAAATACGGGCCTTGTCGATGACAGCTTTTACCGCTGTCCTGTCACGATCGTGGAGGCACCGCTCTTAGGAGACGGGATGGGTTGGTGGCAGCCACTCTTCCCTGTGTGGGGCGGGCACTGTGGCCACCATTTCATGATGAGGTGCTTGGGGAGATGTTTTTCAGACGTATTTCTGTGCAGAGAAGGCTCACGTGTAAAAGAAGAAATATAAAAACACTCTGGAAATAAACTGTAGAGTCTACTAAGCAAAGTCTAAAAAGTCTTCCAAATCTGATTTCTCTTTTGCTTGCTTTCAAGAATAACCTTGGAAAAAAATCCCATTGCCCAGATGGAACAAAAGAGAATTCCCATATAGGAATTTCCTACCTTTCTTCCGTTTTACAGTTTGACAAAGGAAATTGTGGTTCCCACACACAGCAAGATGTTGGTCTGCTTGGTTTTTCACTTTGTGAGACAACTTTGACCACGTGCTGAACAGGAGAACACCCAGATATTTAGGTTAAGTCATGACTTGGCAGTAGAGCCAGCTTGATCTCATAATCAGCATGCCCTGGCTTATGTGAAAACAATTAGAAGATAAAATGATTCCTAGAAGTCAAAAAGCATACAGTGTTATGGAATGTACTGTAGTGGGAAACAGTGACCACATAATGTGGTACTTGGTGCCATCAGGCTCTAAAGAATTGTACAAAATAAAAAAAACCTCATCCAAAGAGATCATTCCCTAAAACGAGGTCAGAAAACGTGTGAATAGTTACTAAAACCAAGACAATCCTTTCCAATAAAGTTGGATTAAATTTAACAGGATTTCATGAGATCTACACGAGAAGACAATCAGTTTAAATTAGGAATGCTGGCTGATTTACTCTGTCTAAACCGCCAAGGTTTGACCAAAACTGTTCAAAACACTTGATAGCTTCACAGAGATTTCCTAAGTACGTAGATTCTCACATCATTTTTGCATTACAAGAACACAATCTGAGTTGAACGCAATTGTCCTTGTAAAAATGCCAGCCACTTTTCTGCACTGCTTTCACCGGTGTCAAGAGGCGAAGAGATGTCTCTGCTCCCAGGATGCAGCCAGCTGCTGTTCTCACAGGCATGAAGCTGAGCTCAGCGGGGTCAGCCAGAACCATCTTGGATTTGTGTCAAAAAGCCAGTGTGAAGGAGGATGAAGTATTCCTTTCAAGGAGATGAGAATGGCGGCTCACATCTAATCTCAGCACTAATGCTTTGGCTTTGGCTATTTGTTTTCTAACTGTAGGATTGGAAGCCTCTCCGCCAAGAGAGGTTGAGCAGTCTCCATCTGTGGAGGTTTTCAAGACCCAACAGGATAAAGCCCTGAGTAACCTGGCCTAACCTCACAGCTGATGCTGCTTTGAGCAGGAGGTTGAACTACAGATCTCCTTACGTCCCTCCCAACCCATGTCCCTTCCAACCTAAATTACTCTATACTATTCTTTCCATTCGTTTTAAATCTGCTCTTCTATCATCTTTGGCTTCCTTCAGCTATCAAAGCAATACATTACTAAGATTGAAAGTTCATTCCTACGGAGCATGACCAGGAAGAAGTTACAAGTTTAACTAGATTATGTGACTGAGACATATGGCTCAGCCAGAGATAAAATCTCTACACGAGTCAAAAATACCATTACAGTTCTTCAAGAAAAAAATGATTAAAAGGGTGAAAAACTGCAAGTCTTAAGAAATACATATCACAGGCCTGTGTGCATTTGCAAAACAACCTGGAAATGCAAAATAACTACTGAAACACATTTATAGCACTACAATCTCCACAGTCCTGTATAATAACGACCGAGATGACTTTTGGGCATCGTCTTCACTGGCTGTACGGTTATATATCATACAATTTAAGCTGCTCCTTCATGTCTCCTTCAGACATCTCTCCAAATGTGTCACTCTTTTCCTTCATGAGCCTGAAGATGGCAGCCAGCTGCTCTCTCTGAACCCTGTCAACAAGAAAAGGAGAAGTAGGAATAGCCAGTCCCCAGCAGGCGCTCTGAACAAGCTCACCAAATGAAACATGAAGCCAAACGTGGGTCATTTTACAAGCCCTGTTGACTGCAGGAAATCTGCCCATGCAAGATGAGAAAGGGATAGCCTCTGGTTCTGCATCCTTCACCCTCACAGCTATCTGATTATCTTGCATGCCTCTCTGCATTTCTTACGGAGATAAAACTGTCTGCTTTAGCACCAGCTTTGTAGGAGTACCTTAGGGCTTATCTATGCTCACAGTTTCAGGATAACTCCACGTGTGGAAATCTGTAAGATCACCACGTCCCAGTTCAGTGGCTCTATAGCAAAAATGGATTAAGCTTCATCAGCACAGCATCCTTTCATTCTGTAGTGAGAGCATGCAGATGCAGAGTAATTCAGGAATAGCTGTTAAGTTTTAAATTCATATCTTACTGTAAAACTAGAGACTAGACTGCCTTCCACTGTGGACGTGACTTTAATCAGCCACTGGAAGACAAGATCACAGGCTGGAATCTGCTTTGATTCAAGAGTTTGTCTGCCAGTTTCAAAAACTGAGATGAACTCACTGTCCAGCAATGAGATGATTCCTCCGTGGGCAGAATCAGACCAGCAGAACATCTACCTCAGATTTCCAGCCCTAAAGGTCCCACAGCTGATGGTTAATTTCCTGCTCCCCATAGAAGCTCATACCCTGATTTTTGCCTTACCTGAAGCAGTTAACCATTGTTATACGTCCTGCAGCGCAATGATTGGTATCTGCCACAATGCTTTGTTCGAGGAATCTTTATAGGAGAGCTTATATTGTTCACATATTTACTGCTCATTGCTCAGAGATAAAGAAGGGAGGGCTGCACGAGAATATCACGTATTCTCAAATGCCTCCCTGATGCCTAATGAACGAACTGATGCAACTGCCTACAGTTTTAGGTCAAAATGAATATTGCAGGTCTGTGGAGTCAGAATTCAGCAACTCAGAGCACAGATTTGCTGCAATCCAATTTGCTGCTCTTCCCGTGTCTTTAGCATCACTAGACTTCCCCTCAGCTGGAAATATTGATTCTTGCTTTTATTTCTACAGTCACCCTGTCGAGTGTCCTTTGTCCCCATCACAGCCTGCTCTCCGCACAGGGCTTTAATACGCTGTAATTAATCCACTTAAATGGAGGCCATTGGTTAACCTGGGGTAGTCTTCCTGCAAGTCCTGCGTGGACAAGCTATTAGCTGTTTCCATAATAGGAGCAGTAAAAATACCTATTGACAGGCAAAACCGGGACGCAACCCTTGCCTGAATGAAGAAAGCACAGCATCGACAGTTAGAAGTACGCACGCCAAGAATGAGTGGAAGGAGACAGTCAGGAATGAGTTGAGGAGCCCTCGCATCCCAGTTCCTATCAAGCTCTGTGTTTTCCCCTCTGGGCTCAGCCCCAGCAGGAGCAGAAGCAGCCAGCTGTCTTCCCAGCACCATCGCTGCAGGCAGGGCAGGAAGAAAGCACATCCTGGCAAAAGGAAGTTCATTTGCCAATTACTTCCTATTACAATTAAAACGCAATTATCTTGAGGCCAAACGTATCCTGATGTTGGAACCTTTTGGTTGTGAAAGCTCTAGCCACAGCCTATCCAGCACCTGGATTTGTCTGTCCTTTATGAATGTTTCTCTGCTCACATGAAACACTTCCAGCTGCCCTTTCCAGACCAGAGGAGGTGCAGCACAGTCGTCACTGATCAATATTTTATTTTAGATCACCACTGGGTACCAGAGGGCACATTTCCAGTCTGATGTGGAGAAATCCAATACACGTCTTTGCCTCACGTGTTGGAAATGCGGGCCAGCTGCAAACGCTCTGCTCAGGTCTGCATCCATCACTTATTATCTCACAGACATTAACAGTACTGAAACCTTCAGCTGCTTAAGGCTCCATTTCCTTGTATTCTTGTCTCCAAAACTGAGATCGCTGACAATCCCCACTTATTTTTAAAACACAGCATCCATACATTCTGTCCTTCCCCTCGACTTTAAATTTCACGACCGTACATTTGAAAGCAGAAATCAAAAAGAGGTGTTACTGCTCTGCACTTCATAATCTACAACAAAGGGAGAGTGAAACAAAGATAAGGAGAGCAAAGAGCCTGAGAAAGAAGAGTGAGACATCAAAAACATGAAACTGATTTCAAAAAGGAGCTTCTGCTATCAAAGGCGACCTTGTAAAACAACTCTGTAGTGCTCCAGGTTGTATTTTCTTGGTGATTTCAGATCAAAACTATCCCATTCACAAGTAGAATCGTTCCCTCTTCCTGTAACTGCTGTCCTCAAAGCTGCTTGGATTCAAGAAGTCAAAGAGGATTTTACTTATTGCTGACAAAATAGATTAATTAAGGATTTTTCAAAGCAGCCTAATTCTTCTTGATAGGGAATTGAATTTGCATACTTCACTCCCTCAGGCTTCTTTAGGCACTTCAGTCTCAAACTTTCACAATTAACTGGAGTTTTGGAGCAGTTAGATGTAGGTATGTTAAAGCAGATCTAAGCTTCAGGAGCTGCTGGGCATCTGTGTTGGCAGCAGCTGAAATCCTGGGCAAAGCTCTGCATTGGGAAAGAGTGCTAATTGCTCCACACACAAACAAGGTCAGGATGCTACTGCAGCACGGAGCTGCTCCAGCAGAAACAAGGGAGAACCCAGGCTTTCACCACTGGCCTGACTCCGTTCCTGTTGGAGTCACTTCTAGGGTAAAAGGCATGAGAAAACAGAATGTACCTCTAACCTAAAGTCCAGATTTTCAACACAGATCTCTTGAGGAAAAAGTTACGAGCTGCTGGAGAAAGGGAGAGCAAGCACAAACCAAATAAACTATTCAAAGGTTTATTGGACCAAACAAACGCAATTTTTACAGATTCAAGCCACTAGAATGACAGTCCTTCATATAAGAGCCACCATCAGATACAAAACAAACAAACAAAACAAAAGTAAAAAATACCCAGACAGCCACTTGAGTTGAAGAAATAGTTTGACTCGCTGCCACTAGCAAAAATCTGGACTCAGCTATAGACTTTGCTGGATGTACGTATTGCCATGTAACAAACACAATGTATATAAGGCATTCTTTGCATAGTTGGGTGCTTGGGACACAGAGTCAGCTAGCCAGCACCAAAGGGAGACAGCAGCTGTACTAGTGGGTGTTGAAGCAGAGGGTGTGCCTAAATTCGTATGCAAACCACTGAAGACGCTTGCAGTTGTTGGCTGGGAAGGGGCAGCCCAGCCTCTTCTAAGCTGAAGCCTCCTGCTGTTCTTTAAACGAGCCCTTTTATTAAGAATTTGCCAACCCCAGGCGCTGGAAAGGACAACTGTGTACAAGGTTTCAAGTATCGTCTGCATAGGAATTAAAAAGGAAAGAAAAAAAATAGAAAAAGCAGCCTGTTGGTTTTCTGATATGTTTGCAGCTTTAGCCAAGAGGCTGCTGTCCTGCAGTGAGAGAAGAATTGAAGGACGCGATCCCAGCCAGCCTGGTGCTTCTGCAACATCACTAGAGGACTTGGGCCCTCTTCTCACTCTCACAGACCAGCTGGCTTTCATTCGCAGCCTGCTGTGCCTGGAGCAGGCATGTGCACCTAGCCAAATTCATCCCCTGATGGAGCTGAGGAGAGGTGCTGAGATGTGGCTCCTGTGGACAAGCCACTGGGCTCGCAAGAAAAGAGGGCAATGGGATAGCAAGCGGGCAGAGAAATGGGGAGGGCGTCTCTTCCAGGACCCCCCTAATCTCATGCTGAGCTGTGGGAGCCCACGGTGCCATAGCTACCTCCATGGGTTCATCTCTTGGGAACAGAGCGGGGAAGCGTGAATCCAGATAACAACAGTCAAAGTGTGGTCTCCGAAGCCTTCACCACAAACTGAGCAGCTAAGCTATCAACCTTCATCACTCCTCCAGTCTTCCATCTACCTGCAAGATCAGCTCTTCGCTAAAATAACTACAGAAGTGAGATTTAAGTCAGCTAACATCTTCTCTCCCTTACTTTGATCCCACTTCGTACCTCCACCCTTTGGAATAAAGTAATGTCACACAGTGTTTGAAATCAGTCAGTTCCCACTCCCCAGCAGCACAGAAGGATTTGGCTCTAAGAAGAAACAACTTGGTAGTCTGGTACAAGATCCAGGCCAGTCTGGGAGAAGAGCTACAGTTCACCCACCCCTCTAAAGAAACAACACTGACTTCATGGCAGGGCTAATACATGGTGGTGAACAAAACTAATAGGCTCGCTGCAAATTTGGTATCCAATTTGGGTTCTGTTTGAAGGAGAGGGAGAAAGGTTAATGTAGGATATCCCAGCCCCCCCAAACACAACTCAAGTCACTCATTGGGCCCAGCCCCAGTCCATGGAGACACACAAGGATCTCCTTAAACTTGATACCACAGGAGTTTTTGAAGAACTCAACTTCAGAGCAAGAGGGATGCCAAGTTTTGAGGGCTTATGGATTCTCTTATGGGTGTGTTTGGTTGGTTTTGGTATTTCTCTCAAGCCTTTAAAGATGCCAAGGGATTTCTTTAGGAGGAGGCTAGGGACAACTTCATATAGTCTTCAGTTCTGCAAAGAGAAACAAGGAGAGAAGAGAAATATTTCAGTCATTTCACCCCTCAGGATGGTTTCATTATTATTCACATAAATGAGCAAGGGGATAACTCGGTATGAGTGGAGGAGAAGGCAAGCCAGCTTTCCCCTTCTGGGAAGAGTAAGTCACTGTTTGCAAACCACGTGCCTCAAAGGAGGAGGCACGTTTCCTCATCAACTGCAGCAGGATAGCCGAAACCCGGCCAAAGAAGTGTAAATCCTCTCATCTGGCATCAAACCTGAATTGCAGTCTTTCTTTCTGACCTATGATGAGAGGTGCAGAAGTCCAGCTAACTGGAAACGTTCATCAGCTCCAGGGATTACTGCCTCAGTGTCCCATGCAGAGCTGTCTTGGGCTGCTCACACACTTGTCCAGCCCACATTCCTCCTGCCACCTGCAACCAGATGAGCCAGGATCCGGTTTCCTGGATGAATGGGTCAACCTTTCTATTGATCTGTCTGACCAAAGAAAGGAGGCAAAACCAACAGACTCTATAGACCACAGTGCTTCCCTCCTCTCCTAATACCTCAGGGAAGGAGGGTGAGATTATTAGATACATTTTATGGATGGAGACATCCAGGCACTCCCCAAGGTCTTGCAGCATGTTAGCATGAATGTGGTCCCTCCTTCCCAGCTTGAACCCTTCAGATGCTCTGCCCTGACTGCCCCAGCTGCTCTCGTAGAATGCTGTGATACACATGGACCACAGCCTAATTCCCCTGAATTCAGTAGGATTCACAGTGCCTAGCACCTGAGTCTCATTCAGATGTCACCTGCTCCTGGCAGCTACAACATAAAGGCAAGTTGCAGCCTCATTTCTTCCTTATTCCTCTGCAAAAAGTTCAACTGTCTGCTGTTTTCTACAGACACTCAGCAACCCGGATCTCGGATGGGAGACGAAGGCTGAAGCCTCACAAGGGCCCAGGGCTCCTCAGGCAGTGCTGGGGAAGCTCAGCAGCCAACCCATGATGGCAAAGAAAGAAAATTCTCCAGAGTGGATAATCACTCTGTGGGATTCGCAGCACTGACCATCAGATCATCCTGCTCAAGCCACACAAGCATAATCAGATTTTACACATGAGGGCATAAGCTCATTGCCATGGGGGCCCAGAAGGAGAAGTTCCCTCCAGTGTGCCACAGTTGGAGTGGGGAGGGATGGAGGACATCAGGGAGAGTGGATGGGGCTCAGATGCATCCCCTCTGCAGGGATACTCACCTAAAGGACAGGGCCGGGCAGACAGCAGGGGTGGGATCTTAAACAAAACATGGCCTTGATGGAGGATATCTGTCAAAACCACAAATTCCCTATCGGCAAAACAGGGATACCCCTTTCTGCTCCTGGAGCAAGCTGGAAGAGGGATTAAAGAGCATGAGGCAGACTGTCATGGGAACATCAGGGCCATACAATTCCCTAGAATGAGAAGCTCCAACATTGCTGCCACGAAGCCTGAGAGATTTAATTATCTTAGGGTGGAGGCTGAGCCATGAGCCATCGCCTGTCCTTGGGTCTTCCCCCCTTTCCATTTGACATGGATGGTGAAATCAGCCTTACCAGCATTCCTTCCCCTGGCAGCATATGAATCAAGCCAGGTTATGGTCTTTTTTTAATGGATTATTTCTTCACATATAGATTATCCAAATTGCTCTGGCCCCAGTAAGGGCCAAGTCAGTAAATCATAGTGTCGATCAACTGGATGTGGTTATATGCAAGGAGCAACCAGAAAATAAGGAGCTTAGACAAGGGCAGGTCATAGGTGGAAAATGGCTCGGGAGCTGAAGCTGGGAACACTGGAGCATGAGGTTGAACAAAGCCTGAGGTAACTGGTCTCTGCTGCTGAGGAAAAGGGAAGGACATTTTTATCCCTTCCTTTTTGTCCTGCTTGCAGTTCCTCTGCAATCTGAGAGCAGCATCTCCAGCACAGGTGGAAACCAATTGTCTTTCTGATGGCCTCAGAAGCGTTGCCCTCACTCCAGCTCAGCAATGACATTGGCACTGGAGCATGGACTTCTTGTCTGAGAGAGCAGGCAGCATCCCAGCGCTAATGGCCCTCTTGCAGTCAAAATCCACAGCAGGAGGTCAGAAACCTCACAGCTCATCCCAACTGTCCATAGCTTTCCAGAGGGGCCTCGACACTCTCCAAGGAGAAGATCCCCAGACACCTTGCTCTAACCACCTCTGGGAATTGCTTGCAGCCATTTCAGGAAGAATTTCATCTGGAAAGCTGATTTTCAGAAGCGTGGAGCATTCCCAGCTCCTTCCCCTAGCAGGTAAAGCAGGCACTCAGCTTCTCAAGAACATCAGTCCTCTGGTCTGAAGTGCTGGCAAGGAGGGCGCATACCTTCTGGCGTCAGGCTCTTCTCGTTCCAAGGCTATGATTCACCTTTGAGGCTCCAGAGCAGTGAGGAAAGGCCACGGGCACTGGGCCTGGCATTGGGAAACCAGGCTCCCCCAGGCATCTCCCTCCCATCTTACTACAGAGACTACAGTCTCATCACCATCGCTTCCTGTGTCTCTACCCTTGCGGTAGATGTCATCTCACTGCTGGCAGTGAGCATCACGTCCAGGAGCACAGTACTGCAGGAACAACACGAGGAAGGACTTAGTAAATCCAAGCTTCCCCTTCAGCCCCAAAATTGTGGGCCAGCTTCAGTCAGTGGATAAAACATGGAGAGAGAACTGAACAGCAGGATATGGAGAGAGAGTGCTTTGAAAGAGAAGAGTGAGAGAGTGAGAGGTACCAAAGGGAGATTTTATCTGCACAGATCTGAAATTCCTCCAGTGGGACCAAACAGCCAGAAGGTGCATAGGACCTTGGGGATGCCTGTTGCTCCTCAGCACACCAAGGCGGCAGCTGAGGCTGCAATTAGGAGCACAGTCCCAGCAGCTCAAGGACAAGGCTGGCAAGGCTGAGCTGCCCTTGCTCAGTGCCGTTTCAAGGCAGAAGCCTCCTACGCTTCCCAGCCGCAGCAGTGACAGCTGAAAAGGCCACAGCACAGCCGGGAAGGCAGCTTGAACTCTGCCAGCTCAGCTCAGCTCAGCTCCTCCAGTTCTGCGCTCACCCCTTTGCGATGCTCCTGAACCTGAGTCCATGTTACAGAAGTGGAGAAAACAACAGATGGGCCAACCTATGCTTGCATGCCTGGCTTCCTGCAGCCCATGATGCCACAAGGGAGGCAGCCTCGGCTCCCAAAGAGTTAGCAGAGGGAACAGCAAGCTGCCCATGCAGCGTGAGGTTAAGCAGAAGCAAATAGAGCCAAATTGTGAGCGCTGGGTGAGGGAGATGCAAAGCAGGCACAAGCTGGGACAATTCGGGACCTCAGCCAAAAGGAAAAACCCAGGAGCTCAAAGCAGAGTCTGAAACTTCATCCCACGGCAGGGCTGGGGACTCACAGCCTGCAGAGGAGCGTCTGGAAGGTTCCCCCTAGGGATGGGAGAGGAGAGGAAGGGCTCTATTAGCCTCCCCTTTCCCTGTGTTTCCAAGGGAGGCATCCTGAGCTGCTCCGTGGGACTCATGACTCAAGCAGATGCTCTATAAATAGGGCCTGAGCTCAGCTCCACTGATTTCTCATAGACATTTTCCCTATGGAGAAGCATCACAGCCAGGGGAGTTTGGTGGGTCCCTCTGTACCCATGTGCCCCTTTCCTCCTAGGCTGTTCTGTGGCTGAAGGCAGCCTTCCCCACAGCCAGTGCCTTCCCCATGGCTGGGGGCCGCAGTGAAGCAGTGGTCAGCCTGATCTAAACAGAACCCCACATTCACAGTGTTTGTAGCCACCTGTTGCTACTTCTCCTCCCTCAGCCCAGGGCGACTATCGTGCTGCAGAAGATGAAGAGCAAACAAATAATAAAAATCCAAAGAAAGCCAAACTTACCAGCTTCCCTCATCCAAATGAAGTGCCATGCTGGACAGGAAAGGACAGCAAGCAAGCAAGCCAGGGCCATGTGATGGCAATGCAGGAGGAGGACAGGGACAGATGCAGAAAGAGAGCTCTCCTGAAATACAGCCTCCCCCAGCCCAGACCACCCACTTTTTCTACAGGGCCAGCAGTGGACATATTCAAAATTGGTCAAAGTCCAACATCTAAATCCTAGCAGCTGCTTCCTGCCCTTGTGTTCTCAAGTCATCACTGCAAGCATTGTCTGGTTCAAAATGGCACTTCGGCACAGCTCTCCCTAAAGCCACAGCTGCATCCCCATTTGATCTGGGATGTCTGGCAGAGCAAGATCAGCCCACTAACAGCCCTAGGACTGTACTTGTGCCACATCCAGCCTGGACAGGATGCACCACTCCAGTCCCACATCCCCATGTCTTCTCTCTGCCTTTCCCTGCAGTTAAGGTCTGGCCATGGGCCCTGCCTTGCTGAAACTCCAGGGTCCAAGCCTAGGTTTATTTAGCGGCTTGTAATTAAGAAGCACTCTGGACCCAACTGGGGGCCAGCCAGCTTTCCATTGCTAACTGATCACCAAGAGGGCAGTGGGTAAGATTTACAGCCATCCCATTCCCTTTGCTTGAACTCCAATTTGCAAGCAGTACCTTCTCAACCCACCCATGGCTGGCCAGGAGAGCCAGCGAATTTATCCTAGAAGGGCTGAGATGACTGTGGGAACCACGCTTACTAGCAAAGCAAACACAGCAGCCCTCCCTACCTTCTCCCCAGTCCTGTAGAGGTTGGACTGTGGTATCACCGAGCCATCCATCACACCTGCAAGCAGCAGGCTCTGGGCAGGTTGGGGCACTGAGTTTCACTCAGACACTGCTTTAAGGGACAGAGTGCTGTGAGGCTTTTCCAGCCCTGGAGGTGCCCTCGTGTTTGCAGCTGGGCCCCTCAGGGTCAGAAACTTTGCTGTCCTGTTTCTCTTGCTTTCCCCTTCCCACTCCACTCCTGGCACTAATTTAGGTTATGCAAAACCACAAACATCTCATCCGAGTACACATGCAGAAAACACAGCCTCTGCCTATGCTGCAGCCCACACAGCAATGAGAAGCATCTTAGTGTCTCATTGCTGGCCAGGGAAGGTGACTGACTGGGAAGTGCAGCTGCAGCACCCAGAGCTTGGGGGACAGCTTCTGGTTTTCTACCTCTGCCTCTCCAGAAACCTCAGAAACAAGAGAAGACAAAGAGGAAAGAGCTTCCTATGGACTATCGTGTGGGATCTGCTTTCCCTTCAGCCTGCACACCTACAGAAGAGTGGGAGGGACTCAGCATCACCAAGGCCAACCAGGACTTGCTGGGACCTGCTCTATCTTGTAGAAAGAGAGAACTGAAAACAAAAACCTACGGGAATCTCTCTCCTGGTTGTTTTCTTTTTTTACTAAAAATGCAGCCTTGTTGCAGCTGTCAGTGCTCACTGCACAAACAAACCAACCCACTAACAGCCCTGGGGCTGTACTTGTGCCCCATCCAGCCTGGACGGGCTGCACCACTGCAGTCCCACATCCCCACGCTTTGCACCGTGGCAGCTGCAGTTGGCAATCGATGACCAAAAGCCTCAGGTGCAGAAGAGATGGATTTGGGAAATATGCAATGCTGGCTTGACTCAAGGCTGCATCCTTCCCCTGCTCCCTTCCCCTTCCTGCTCAGACTGCTTTTCTCCCCCAGAGGAACAAACGCTACGTGCTTCTGTTCTCCATGTGCTGGTAACCCACCAGGTGTGCAGTGCCACCAGCCAAGCAGATGTGTTTGCCACCAAGAGTGACCGTCCTTCCCTCCTGAGAAGTCCTGCTATTTTTTAAGACTGAAGTAATCAAAAAGCAGGAAATTGCATCACTCCATGAAGGTCACATTCCTTCCCTTTTGAGTCCAGATTTAGCGCCAGTTTGAAGCTGCAAGATTCAAGTGAATAGCAGGCAAGGCAACCACAGCTTCAGGAGCGATGCAGAGTATGAGCAGAAGTGGGTTTTTGTTTAAACAACCCTTCCTACTGCATGTCTCTCCTTTCCTGCTGTCTACGGGTCTTCCTGTAAAAGGAATGATCTCAGTGGCATTTCCAAAATCAGGTGTCCCCAAATGAAGGGCTCCTGATGACAGACCACAACAGGCAGTCCCAACTGGGAGCCTTGCATTCTGGGGATGTTGCTTCCAAGCTGCTTCCTACAGGTGCCTGCTGGCCCATGGGGGTCAACTGAAGGGTCAGCAGCAGGCTGAGCCCCCACCTCCAGCTACGTGCCCTAGGGCTAACCACCAGCTCACTGCCCTCATTTTCCAGGTCAGGAAATAGAAGCATTCATGGGATGTCTGAGCTGAGGAACCCATATGGAAGAGCTGAGCAGCTGGGTGTGAGAACCCTCCATTCCAGGTCCCTTTGGAGTGCTCGTGGAAGTGAGATGGAGCAGGGGGAGCAGACTCATTAATCTGTTACGGGGAGGGAAGGGAGGTGGGAGAGATGGCTCAGAAATAAACCCTCCCCCCCCAGAACAAAACCCAAAAGAATGAAAAAAAAAAAACAAAACACCACAGCAAAACCACCGAAACACATTAGCAGATGTTATCCATGAACACTACTTCTAAGAAACGGCGCATCCTTACCAAACAGATTTGCAAGAATGTTTGTGGCCGAGGACCTAAGGTACTTGCTACAGAGATGTGAGATCAGAGGTCAGCTCAATCCTGCAACATAAAGGTGGCAAACCTGGGTCACAGCGGGTCGGCAGCGGTCAGAGAGCAGAACGCATGGAACCAGGGAGAGGGACGGGGCTCGGGGGGACCAGGCTGAGCTGCTGCCCTCTGCTCACCTGGACCTCACCCAGCAGCACCCGGACCCACACAGCACCCTGAAATGAGAAGCTGCTGATGGCACAGGGAAGAAAATAAGGCAGCGACACAGCAGGACAAAAGTAAAACATAAAAACAAAATTCATAAAGCTGCCGTAAGGAAATGAACAACACAAACAGAGAGGAGAGACAGCAGAAGGGAGCAGTAGGAAAACGCGCTGCCAATGGCCCTCAGTGTGCGAGCTGCTGAGAGCTTCCAAGGCGTCCTCAGTGCCATCTGCCAGCCCTGGGGCACAGCCCTGCCCTGGGACGTGAGCACTGATACCCATCCTTCAGTCCAGAGAACAAAACCTTGGCTGGGGATGCAGCGAGAGCGACGTCCCCTCACTGCACCCACAGGATGCCCAGTGGCTTTTGTTGCCACGAAGGAGCCAGCCCTGCAGGTCTCCCGTTCGAACCCTCACGCAGTGATTGCTCAGCTGGCTGCTGGAGCTGCAGAGGGTTTAAATGTACCTTTTGCAGTGGATTTTGTACTGGTGCTTAGCAGGATCCCCCAAAACAATTCCCATTGAGCCCTGTGGGTTGGGATTTCATTCACATTCACTCTGCTCATTCCACCATCCCCTCCCCATGTGAAAGCAGTGATGCCAACAGACCTGGCAAGTGTTGTACAGACTGCATGCTCCAGGCATGGTAAAGACATAATGGGAAGAAAGCAAACATTTTCCTGATGCCAGCAATGCAGGGTCAGCCCAGAAGCAACCAGAGATGGCTTGCATGGCTGAGACCAGAGCGTGCAGCCCAAGCAGAGCGCTGCTCCTAGCAGAGCTGCACAGCAGTGATCCCTGAGACCTGTGGGCAGAAAGGGAAGGCATCCCTTGGTGTGAAAGTAGGGCTAACATGAAGGGAAATGGTGCAGGATCAGCATGTTTAGGGCAGCCAGCGTGGAGAGCTAGGGCCCACAGCCCTTCCTTGGGGATGACAAGGGAAGGACCGGCATCTCCTCAGCATGCTGTGGGCCACACTGGGATACGGAGCTCCAAAGCTCCACATTCACTCCCTTTGCTCCAGTATTTCAGAGCTGTACCCAAACCCTCAGGCAATTGACAGGGCAAAGGGAGGGGAAGGGGCAGTCAGAGCCTCAACGGATGGAAATCAACGTGGTGCCAATGGGTCCGTGGATATACACCAACTTGCACAGGTGAGACATCAGGTCTGAGCATCCAGAAGAGCTTGCCCAGCTGCAGTGAATCACTGTGGCCCTGTATCTCCTCAATGCATGTGATTGTATTTGTGATGGTGTGAGATCTTGCTTCAAGAAACCGCCAACCAGATGGACTCAGGTGAGAAGGGAAAAAAGGAAACTCAGCATACCTTTGTTCTTCCTCGAGTTCTTCTTTGGTCATCATTGACTTGTACTGGTTTCCCCTCAGCTTTCCAGGACTGTACTTAAAAGAGAACGTCTCATCTGCAGCTGGGGAGGGCAGGACAGAGGAGAGCAGGAGATGGTGTGAGACAGAAAGCACCTGAGAGGGACATTCAGCATCCACAGGCTCGAGCTGCACGCCCAGCCCTGCTCCCATGCATTCACCCATGAGACTTCCACCATCGGTTCCAAAGCCTCAGGAAACCCTGAGGTATCTCTCCCCTCCTCTCCCCAGGGGCCCCTTTCCAGATCTCCCCATCTCAGCCTCGGGCTAATTAGTGCCAGAGCTCACGGATCTCGAAGCAAAGCTGATCCTTTTCCAATCGGATTTTATTAGAGCTCCGTTTGCTTTTAGAAACCTCTCCCCTTCCTTATCTTCCCAGAGACAACAGAGAACAGCAGCGGTGGGGGCGACCCAAAGGGCGGCCCTGAGGGCTCACGGAGCCGCGCTTATCTGCAGCTGCTGATCCACAGACCTTTATCTGCCAAGGACTGTGGGATGGAGCTGCCTCGTGTCAGCTGCTCAGCACAGCTGCACCCACAGAACCATCTGCTGTCCTCACAGAGCCCCGGGGCTCCTTCCGAGGAGTCCAACAAACAGAGGATGCTGTGGCCCTGTATCTCTCCCCTCCAGGGAGAAGCCAGACTGCCTGTGCATCCCCGGGACGCTGCATGTTACCCACAAACCCACCATCCTGGGTGACACCTCCAGGCACCAACGAGACCCCGTAAAAGTGGTCACGAAAGCGTATGGAAAGAAAATCAGCTGCTGCTGCTGCTTTGGGAGACACTGGGAGGGAAAGAACAGAAAGAGAGGGTGTAACATCCTGTTCCTTGCCCTGGTGCAGCCCAGGAGTTATTTTATTACCTTCGTACAGCTCGCCTGATTTCAAGGACAATTAAAATCACTTCCCCCACACGGTTCTCTGCCAAATTGAGATTTTGCCTGTTCAAAAAGGGCAGTTTAATTGCTGCTCCACCAGAAAGGAACAAGCGGCAGGGAGGAGAGGTGGCCACCTATCTCACTGCCCACGTGTTGCGGCTTTGGAAACCGCTGGATGTTTTTTGAGCTCAGGAACTTTCTTTGCAGACTGAAAACAAACTTCAGGAAGCACGGAGCAGGGAGGCAGGGCTTTCACGTGGCCGGCTGCAGGGCGAAGATGTGACCTACTTACCAGGAGCCTGGCCAGGAGCATATGAAAGAAAATATTTATTTTTCATCTCTTCTCTTGCATTGCATTGCAAGCGCTGGCAGTGTGTGAGCCGGGTGAGAGCCCTGCGAGCTCAGCAGCTGCCTCCTGCCTCCCATCTCCCAAAGTGGGGCTGAGCTGCTCTCGTGCACCGTGGGCTCGTGGGGATGCTGAGCTAGCCGTGAGCTGTGCCTGACTCCATGTGAGCTGCCCCAAAATAGCCATGAACCAAAAAGGGCAAAGCTTGGCACAGCACCATCACCATCATCCTTTGGGCAGCAGGCGCCCGTCGTTCATCCAACCAGATCGACCAGACCCATTAACACCCCTGATGCTGCATGGAAACCCAGCAGGATGGAACACACACACGTCTTTGTGGAACCCTGTCCCCTACAGAGGGAAGGCGCTTCTCCCACCTCACATGATTAAAATTTGATTCCCTGTGGCATTAGGGTAATCCTCCTGAGCCTGGGGATTGCCACGCTGTGCCTTACCCGGGTTGGGAGGAAAGTGGGGCAGAGCAGGAGGAGCACCAGCACGGAGGGGATGTGGGCACAGCCCCACTGACACACTGCTGCTTGATGGGCCACCTGCTTTGTTTTCTCTGAGCACAGCCACTCCAGTGAGGCAATTCATCATTTTCCAATCAACTAATTGAGTAATTAGTGAAATGTGGCTCTGCCTACAGACTCCAGAGATGTGCCTCGAGGGGAGGAAGGAGCTTTTGGGGTGCTGCTCCAAGGGATTGAGCTGTTTGTCTGCTCCCAGGTATTTAGTAACAGTGACAGCCCAAGGGCAGGGGCCCTTCTGCTGTGTGTGGATCCCCAGTAGCTGCTTCTCCCTCCATGTCCCTTCATTTTGGGATGTTGGGTCCTTTTCCCCTGCACTGCTCAGAGATGGGGGACCATCCCCAGGCACTGGGGCTCAGCTTTTCAGACCATCCCCGTGGGGCACTGCCTTTCTGGCACTCACCATCATCATCCTCCGTCTCTTTCACCATCAGCTTCTCACTGTCTGAGTCTGGATCTTCCTCCTGCAGAGGGAAAAGACAGAGCAGCCATGATCAGAAGGTGCTGTTCTACATCACCTATGAGAGCCCTCAAAATCGGGTACTGCTTCCCTGCCCCATTCTGAGAAGAGGGGAAAGGGATGCTTTGCTAACAAGCAACGTTCATTAGTCTGCTTCCTTCTCAATGCCTAGCAGTGTCATGAGAACTGCCCTCTCCCCATGCCCACGGGGCTGCCATTACAGTCATTTCCTCCCTTGGGCCCTCAAGCACCAAAAATAGCCCCAGGAGCAGGGAGGGAGGCTTGGAGCTGGGTCTGGGGCATGGAGGGGCCCAGCAAGAGGAGCATCCATCCCACACAGACACGGGCAAGCAAAGCTGCCCCCAGCAGGAGCCATCTCAGCTCAGGATGCACAGGGAGGAATCAAACAGCACGGAGTTTTAACACAAACCAAGCCTGGAAGTTTTGGGGTTGCCTCCCACGAGTCGCAGCAAGCTTTATCAAGGCCGGATTCCTTGCAGATGGAACGCGGGGAGGGAGAGAACAGCTCCAGCCCTGGAGATAAGGCTGGGACACAGGCAGTGCCCACACACGTGCCTTCCTCCCTGTGTGATGCAGACAGGAGGGGAACCAGCACGGACCCCGCTCTGGGTTTGCAGCGGTGGCTTCATATCCACCACTAAGCGTGGTACTGCTCAGACCCAGCTTGCTTTGTCATCGGTGAGGAATGCGCATTATTCACAGCCCCTTGGCTTCTCCTCACCACCCAGCTCCCCAGGAGGACACGTGGCTGACACCCCAGCAGCCATCGCTATTTTGGGCCACGCTTCCAAACATGGGCGCTCACTGCTGATACCTGGGCAGCCCCGTGGCCAGCAGAGCAGCACCCAACAGAGAGGATGATGCTCAGCCCTGGCCCTGGGGGTGCTGAAAGAGAACTGTTCCTGCTCCAGCCCACTGGAAGAAACGTTTGATGGGAGCAGAGGGGGAGCAGGCTGGGCTGCCAGGCCAGCAGGCGACTGCTATGTGCTGTGGTCACACTGGGGAGCTCTGCTCGTGGCAACTGCTTGCTCACTACAGCACAGCATTTTTCTGCTCAGAGGCAGATGCCAGCAGCTCCCTTCCCCCCGCGCTGCAGCCCTGCCTTCCACAGCCCTGTCCTTCTGTCTGCCTGGTCGGGAGCAGCTCCCACAGGCAGCCCATGGGTTGCGTACTGGAATGAGCCAGGCGCTGCTCCTGGCCATGGGTGCAAGTCCAAAGAGCACATTTGCACCCTGAACACACAGACAGAGTCTAGAAAAGCCCCGCCAAGACCCAGGACAGCACTGCTGGCAGCCTTTGCCCCACGGCCACTGCCAGATCAGTGGTACCACAGTCACACGAGGATGCGGTGATGCTGAACCACAGTGCTGCAGAGCAGGGGAGGGCACAGCAGCAGCCCTGGGGATGCTGATACAGCAGTTGGGCTGCCAGGATGGAGAGCAGTTTCTGCAGAGCTGACACTGCGTGGCACAACCAGCACACGGGTGGGACAGGCACCCCCAGCAGGAGCTGCCAGGAGCTCCCATAAGCAACGCCACCAAATCACAGCCCCCCCAAACCCAGCGCAGGGTTAAAATCCCCCAAGTCATTACCTTAAATAACAATGCGGCAATACAGCTGTCTTGGCTTTTGGCAGACCTTGGCTGTAGCATTCAAGCATTTGTTAGCTCATCAGAAATGTGCTTTGCCCTTTAGCTTCCATGGCCAGTGAGCAAACGCCCACGTGTGAGCCTGACTTGGGCAGTGCAGGCTGCAGACAAAAGCAGCAGCGAGGATGAGACCCCCGGGGAGGTTTGGGGCACTGAGCAGTAACAGAGTGCTCCCCAAAAGCCCCACTCATGGCTTTCCCAGTCTATGAGCCCTAAAGCATCTCCCAGGTGGGAAAGCCTCCTCTCTGTCATAGGGCAATATAGGCTGGGCTCCCCATCACCCTGTTTTCAGCTCATTTATGGCCAACCAGAGGCAGTTCCTCCCTCCCCACAGCAGGTTTCCCTCCTCTAAAGGGACGCAAGGAGGGGCTGCTGGGCCCCCACCCCTTCTGCTGTCCCGTGGGCACGATGGGGACAAGCAGAGCCCCTCATCCATTCCAACTGCAGGGAAATGGGAAGGCCCTGGGCTGCAAAGAAGGGGGGAGAAAATTACCCTGGAAGCTCCCAGCCCCACGTTGCCATTTATGGCTGCACCTTCTGATCCAAGCCTGATGCAAGAGTTTGCAAGAGGAAGGCAGCGGGGAGCCAGACAGAAAAAGAGAAGCCAGGAGGGAAAGGGGAAGGAAAAAGCCTTTAAAAAGGGGGGAAAAGGAAGCTGATGGGCAGAGTTTGGCAGAGCAGCAGCCCTTGTGTAGAAGAGCTAGTGGGAGATTTGGGGATTTCTGCTCCTTTCTGGCAGGACCCACGCTGAGCTGCCACAGCTCCCACCCAGCAGCTTCTCATTAGGGAAGCAGCATCCATCACGTAACGAGCTCCGACAGTGACAAACTAATTAATTTTTTTTGTCAGTGATGGGAGCCAGCAGACACAAGGGAACCACCACCAGAACCCAATGGGAATGAAGATCTCCTTCCCCTGATTCCCCCTCTTTCAGCCCTGCCCAGCACACAGAGAATCACCTTGCCCACCAGGGCAGGACAGGGACCTCGCAGGACAGAGGCAGGGACCGGAGCATAAAGGCAGCAGGAGGGAACACAGACAGCAGGGTGATGCACTGAGCACACCGACCTGCTTCATCCATCAGCACTTGCTTCAGTGCTTAATGGCTGCAGAGAATCTGAAGCAGCACGTGCTGAGCAGACAGCAGGGAAAAGGAGAAAGGCCTCGGAGTGCTGAGCACAGCCCACTGCTGTCTGATGGGCCTGCCGAAAAGCTCCAAGCCTACAGCAGCACGATGCTGGCCTGAGCCTCTGCTGAGTCACATCGAGGGACTGCAGCCCTCAGCCACGAGTAGGGCAGGGCTCGTTTCCAGCCTGTGCAGCTCTCACCGCTTCGACCAAACTCCTTCCCATGCACACCTGTTAACAACTGCTTGGTGCCGGAGCAGCTCACCCTGCCCTGCTGCTGGGAATCACTTCCCAAGGAAGCAAAACCTTGTCCTGTATCGTGGAATCACTGAGGTTGGAAAAAAATCATCGAGTCCAACCATCAGCCCATCACCATCTGTGCTTTGCTGTGTGAGGCACAACCTGCACTGAGCACAGTGTCCTCCAGGCCGTGGGCACCCTGGGCTGTGCTCACTGGGGCACCCAAAGGGGAAAGGAACATCCCATACGGACGGTCACCTTTGGGCAGACAGAACTGCAGTGCCACGTTCCTGAAGGAGGAGTAGGTTGCAGTGGTGTCTGCTCAGGAAAATGCGACTGAAGAGCAGCCAGGAGGGAGGAGAAACATTCCCAACTCGTGTTAATGAGACGACAGAGAAACTGCACGTCCTGGGTGCTGCTGAGCGACCCCAGCTGGGATGCAGCCAGCGAACGGCAGTCCTGGGGCTCCCCAGCCCTGTAGAGCACTGATAAATCCCACAACTCATCCCAGAGATGGACAGATGTCCCCAGCGCTTTTGGAAGGCTGTGACAATGGGAGTCTGCTTGAGAGCCATCCCCGTAGCCAAGGGATGGTGCTGGGACTCAGGGAAAGAAATGGGAGATGAAGGAGGTGGGAGGAGGGTGAGGTCCCAGCACGCAGGGATGGCACTGCCCTGATGATCACCACGGGACACAGAAGTGCCAACCCACTGCGCCTCGCCCGCTGCGCCTGGTGAGTCAGTAGCGATGCCTTCCAAGACAACGGCTGTCTGTCCGTCCGTCTGCACACTGCCCAGCAGCCTGGATGCAGTCACCAAGGATTAGCAATGCTGCTAATAATAGCCAGCAGGCAGCCAGGCCCCAGGCTGTGCTCCCCAGCTCAAACACGTCTGCGTGCCCTGCATCCCTCCCGGGTTCCCCGGTCACCCTGTTGCCTGCATCCCTCACGGGTACAAGGGGTGGCCCCAGGAGAAGCACAGTCAGTTTGAGCCCCTCGAGGGTCCCCAGGCCCACGGCACAGAGCATTAACGCGGAGCTCACGGAAGCCAGCAGGGCAAACTCCTTCCATGGCCGCTGGGTCACCCTTTTATTTTTAAACAAGATCCGGAGCTGGAGGAGGATTTACCAGGCAGCCCCCCCCCAGTTCAAGCACGGGTCAGAGCTCGGGGTGGGAGGCCAGTAGGGTGCTGGAGGGGGACACAAGGGGGAGACCTCCCTGGGGCTGCAAGGACAGCAGTTGGGGCATCCTCATGCTGCAGGGGGACGATTTACTGCAACCCACAAAAAAAGGGGGGACAGAAAGAGCGCAACACCCCCAGCACCTGGAGCAGCTGCTGGGAAAAGGACGTGCAGCCCCTCACGCGAAATTCGCCTTCCCTCAAGCCTCCCTCCCCTTACCTTGCTCTCTTCCTCCTCCTCTTCCTCCTGCTGCTGCTGCTCCCGGTGTTCGGCGGCGGCCGGCGGGCGGGGGATGCTCTCGGGGCTCCGCTCGGCCGCGGATTTCTGCTCGGCCGCGGATTTCTGCTCGGCCACCGCCGCCTCCTTCTCCTTCTCTTCCTTCTCCTCCTCCTTCTCCTTCTCCTCGCCGCCCGCCCCGACCTCCTCCACCGGCACCCGGCTCCCTTCTACCCCCGGCCCCTCGGCCGCTCCCTGCGGCTCCGCTTCGCCCCCGGCGGCCGAGCTCGGCTCCTCTCTACCCGGCTCCGCTTTGCCCGGCTCCGCTTTGCCCGGCTCTGGCTGCCGCTCCGCCGCCCGCTGCCCCTCGCCTCCCCGCAGCTTCACAAAGACCGAGGCGAGGACGATGGCCAGGACGGTGAAGAGCAGCGGGACGGCCAGGTACAGATCCACGGTCACGTCCATGCTGCCGGAGTCCGAGTGCGCGGCCACCCGCTCGGCCTGCGGCGGGGCTGGGCAGGCTCTCAGCAGCCTTCACCCGGCGTCATCTCCCTCGGCCCTGCCCACAGCCCCGGCCCCATCCCCTCCCCGCCCAGCCCCGAGGATGGGGGGGAAACACGGCTCCGGGCAGGACGGGCTCTTCGAGGGCAGCGTGGAGGCCCAGATGGGCTCCGTGCGATGCTCAGCGAACGCTCAGCCCTTGGTGGGAGCTGGCACCGCACGGCAGAATGTCCCCAGCGAGGAACATCAACGCCAAACCCCAGGAGCTGGGGGTGGTACCCATGATGGCAGGGCGGTAGCCATGGGAACCAAGTGACACTCAGGAGCTGCAGGTGGTACCCGGATAGCCAGGTGCTAACGATGGCAACCAGGTGACACCGACATCAAACCCCGAGCATCACTCCTCCGCCTGCCCCGCCTGCAGGAGAAACATAGCATAACCAAGCCATAACCCTGCTGACCAGGCGATGCCCACAGCACAGGGGTGACATCCCTGGTTTGGGTACACAGCGATGGATGACACAAACTGCTGTCACTGCCATCAGGGTGCTGAGAGTATTTGGGTTACAGGAGCCTCCCCACAGCACAGCGAGGTGCACCGAGGGACTGCAAATGGCAATGCCCAAAGACTGGGCTGCTCAGAGCCAGCACAAGCCCTGCCAGGGGCTGCGGCCCGGCTCTGCCACCGAGGACTTCCTGCCCCTCGGGGGGATGAACCACCGCTCTACAAAGCGCTCTGGAATCAGAAGGTTTAAGCTGTGCACAGGTAAAGGCAGCACTGAGCTCCCCGCGCTGCACAGCGGGAGCAGACATGGGAAGCCCACAGAGCTTCCTCCGGGGAAAAGGCTTCGGGGAATTCTGTGGGAGCGGAATATTTGTATTGAGCGGCTGAAAACAGAAGAAAAACGGATTA